GAAGTTATTCACCATAATACTTATCAGTAAGGTATAAAAAAAGCTGTTTATGGACTGCTCAGGGTTTTACTTGGCTCTTCTCTCATTATTAGCTTCCAGTGAAAATGCTGTCAGCCTCCCTCAGCATTTTAATCACAGTTTAGTGAATAACACAGCAAAGGAAAGCAGAAGTTACAGAAACAGGTTAAAAAGTAATTAAAATCAAGTTTTTATTGACAAATAATGCAGCTACCAAGAAAAAAAAAAATCAAGCTTTTTGATACTTTGCATACATTAAAAAAAATCCTAAAAATACTACTTGCAATAACAGGGTTTACGTGTCTCACACTTCCAGGACAGCCTCCTGATTTCATACGGCAGTTGGGGGGTGTGTGTGTAAGTGAGGAATACCAGGAAGCAGAAGAAAGACAAACTGAGCACATTTGATGACAGCTGACTCTCAGAGCATGATGAAGGTAGAATTTGAAGTACAAATTAAAATCATTTTACAACAGATTTGCTCAACAATTTCTGCTTCCTCACCTTTCCACACAAAAATATGCTATATTAATATATTCCAGCTAACACTCGGTAAAGGTAACAAAACCAAGCTTCAATTAAACTGGCAAGCATATGCTGATGCATAGTCTGCTTCATACCTACTAGAAGCTTACAGCAGGCTGCCTAGTAGGATGCATTTTCTTCTGAAAAAGCATCGAAGTATTCTCCTGATCTTAAGATTTGGTAAATTCTCAAAAGCTTTTAATAATACAGTAGTTTTGCATTATCAATTCTTTTAAAAAAACTCTTAATATTCACCACTTAAGAGTCTAGTTTTAACTGACTACATTATTCCACTTAATGCATTATTCAGAGGTTTACTGTCCAGGAGACAGGCTGGGACCACTGTGATCCATCAAGTGACCCATTTCTTAAAGAGGGCAGTTTAGATAATGTCAAGAAAGGTTTTCAAAATAAGATGCCACTAAACCCACATAATTGTGACTGAAGCGATTGGTTTCAATTCAAGCAAAAACCAAGATAATACTCCCACTTATTTAAATTAGCGTTCTCCATAAAACCCAACATTTGTCAGAAAAACAACTGATGGACAACAGCTTCACCCAATTAAAAGAAAACTTATTTGGAAGCACTACAGGGTGTTCAGTACTTCAAACAAGTGCATTTTGGATGGCCAACAGAGTAACAGCTTCATGGCTTCAGTCCTTCCAAGTCTTGATGGACAGCTTAAACAGCATTTGTAAGAAATGTACACTGAACAATCACGTCTTCATGCAGCTGCAAAAGCCATCCAGATGCATATCTATCACAGCAAGACAGCTGTGCAGCTGTTCCAAGATTCACAGGAGGGCTGTAACCAATACTGTTAACTATCGCTACTGACTCTCTGTAATTAGTTTAGAAATAATACCTTCATCGCTCAACATGACCAGCCTACTGGGATCCGTGCTGGAAAACACATTGCTTGGCAGAGCCATTATTAAAGCCAGTGCTCTCAGACGATGGATTTTTAAAAAAATTATTATTATTTTCCTCTGGACAAGTTCTTCCTCCTCTTTTGTCCCAGCTCTCTAGGAAAGTCTACCAAGCTCAGACAAAGCCCAACCACCCTGCGAAGCAGCCAAGCCCCCCGCCAGCAAGCCGCCAAGGGCTGGGAAGGCAGCGTTACCTCCGTTGATGGGGACGGGAGCCACCAGCAGGCCCTTGACCTCCACCTTGGGGGAATCCTGCCCGTAGCGGCCGCGGTCGATCCTGAGCAGCGTAGGGCCGCCCCGCTCGGGGCTCAGCACGGTCACGTTGATGAGGGCGGTGTAGTACGCCTGGCTGGCGTTGTCGGCGCCGGCCGGCCGGACCCAGCAGTGCCCCAGCAG